CCCCAAAGGGGTCGCGACCCACAGGTTGAGAACCACTGCCCTATTTGCTCTCCCTATACTCCTGAAAAACACCTTGACTGATACCTAGGCAACTGCTGTTATCATCCAGGCCTATACTTGAATGATAGCTAGCTTTTATTCTATTTTTATCTTTAAATGATTATAAATATGGATTAGTAACAATTTGAAGATTTTCATATTGAGTAAAGCCTTTCCCTGCTGCTATGAAACTGCAGCCTTTGCAGCAAAGAAATATCTTTATGAAACAGGGTTTTCCAATGAGCAAGGTAAACATGGGTTCACCTGTACTTACTTAATAACCCCTAGGGAACAATTTTATATTGGCTTCACCACATATTTGATGTGGTGAAAAACGTGAAATTGTTCCCTGTGGATTAGTAAGTCATCACAAGTACGTTCATGCTTCACTTGTTTATTGGATACTCCATCCTTGTCAAAGTTTATAAATGTGAAAATAGGCTTTGATGCTGTAGGAAGGTGCTGTGGGGTTGGGAGAGTGACAAATGCCAGCCATACCTCAGAGCAGAATCCTTCATGTGACACAAAATATGAAATCGTTCACTACCCAACCAGTGTTTATCTTGCTTCCTAGCTAAGTGGTTATCTTTATAATGCAAAGGACTTCAAATTGAAGTTGATTTTCTCAGTGATGTACACCCCCTCCCCCCAAACACACACACAGAACCACCTTTCTTTGCTCTTTCTGTGTATAGACCCTGATATCTACTTGAAAGGGAAAGTGCTTTATATTTTTATTTATAGTTGCCAAACTAGAACTATATCATTGCTCAAGGAAACTCCTTTTCTTTGATTCCCAACAGAGTATAAGACTTTCTTCTTTTACAGATTTCATCAGCTCTATTCAAATCAAATGGCAAACACGTCAATAGTAGGGCAGGGGCATGAGCAAATATCAATGTACATCAATTGTGTAAAATACACATTTTCAACACTAAAATACTAATAACATGCCATGATTATGTACTTTTCTATAAATAAATAGTTGTGTATAATTGTTAATACTGTCATAATAACAGTTATGATGTCAGATGCTCTATCCAAAACCTATTTGCCTTGACAAAACACAGATGTCACTAATCTATGTAATAGTATTTGCTATTACTATACAATGCAGGTGAATCGTGTGTACTGAAGAGGAATTAGTAAAAGCAAAACAAACAAACAAAAACCCAACAAACAGCATAGTTGCAAGGATGCAAATATAAAAGAAAAACTTAGTTTGGGGTTATAATGGTTTGATTTCCCCCCTACATGCTCGGTTAACTCTATTAGCAATAGAACACGTGCCTTAAAATGGGTTACTTTTTCACACTGGGCGAGCTCATTTACCACTTATGAATGCAGATTCCTCTTGAAAGGAAGTTCTCCTCGCAGCGGCAGAAGCATCGGAGCTTGCATACCCTAGGCTTTGAAAGACTCTGCCACTCTCCTGCCACGTGTTCTGAAAATTCCCCCTCAGCTCCTTTGGCGAATCAGAAACATCTAAAATGTGGCCGGCAATGACATCTTCATAGGTTGGAGGGGCATGCTTGAAGTCCAAGCCTGCTCTCTTGGTTTCTGCGCCGCATGAGGAAGAGGCTTCCGTCTTTGACCCAGCAACGTGACTTTCAAATGCATCCATGCCTGAGAAACGTTCACTCAGAGACCTGGCTTCAAAGCCTACCCCGGGCTGTTTGAAAGGAATTGTTTCTTGCAGCTCTCTGGGATGTCTGCAAGAAAAGCCTCTGAAACTTCCACTTTCTAAAGATGTTAACCCAAATTCCTCATTACAAAACGCACGACTTCCTTGCTGTCTATGATGGTTTGCTTCTCCATTTGCATAAACTCTTCTATTTGACTTTGCTTCAAACACTGGGCCATTCTCAAGCTCCCTGAACCATCTGTTTATATCATGTTCATAGCCATTGACAAAATTGTCAGCCATTTGAACAGTTCGGTTGGCTGCTGCATATCTCTGCGTGTGCCCTGAGAGTTGAGGCACTTCGACCTTGCGGATGATTTCAACTGCGTCAAAACTTTCTTCATCTGGCATTATGGGGTTAGGGGAGTGAGCTCCGTCTTTGTGAGTATAAATCGTCCTCTTCTCTACTTTCCTGACTTGCTCGTTTGCTTCCATAGCTTCTCTAAAGGAGCCACTAGAACCGCGATCGACAGTGACTGGTATTGTGATTGTCGGTGGGGAGTCCCCGCCACGAGTTTCTATCTTAATTTGACGGCGAAGCGTTGCAGGAGACGGGATGATCTCAGCCCTCTTCTCTCCAATCGGAACTGGGGTTCCTGAAGGACTTGGGGTGGTCCCTCGGGATAACTTAGCAGTGGTGTCTTTCAGCTTGACAAGTTGTTCAGAGCAACTCCTGGCTGGAGACGGGGAGCTGCTTGCTCTATGCGTTCCAGCTGTGTGTGATACGAGCCTTCGAGGGGGGGGTGGTGCGTCAGCAGAGTGGTCCTGCTTGGGGGACTGGGACAGCTCATCCTTAATAGGGGTTTGTGCTCGTCGTGCGGTAGACTCAATTGTTATAAAAGTAGGTGACTGTGGTCGTGTTTTTAAACAGGAAGGAGACATTCTGCTGTCAACTAGTTTAGTTTCCTGGTGGATCTTCACATCCTTGTGAACAGTGTTTGTTTCCTGATGATGAGCTGTTTTCTCTTCTACAGTCTTGTTTTCTTTCAGCTTGATGCTGTCCTTAGAGCTGCCCTTCACAGTAGGCGTTTTCGATGCTGTGGCAGGAACACTAGTAGGCTTGGTTCTCAGGTTTCTTCCTTTCGATGACATCATGGCTGTTTGAATTGTGTTCTCAGAGGACGCAAGCATATTCTCTGCTTGAGTTTTGATATGCATTACTTCTTCTTTCATTTGTGCTAAGTTATTTTCCATGGCAATGCGGACTCCATAGCATCTTCTTTCTTCGCTTAGCAGCCACACTGGAATAATATTTAACAGCGCCTGAAAGGTTTTAAGACCATTTTCATTTGACTCTGCTTCAAACCGTTTCACTCTAGACAAAATCTCCTGCAGTTCTTCACGTTTTCTCAAGAATTCCAAGATATTTACAGCACATTTTCCATCATCCTGCTGGGATTCTTTCACGGAAGAAATTAAAGATCTGTCCTGTGTAATCTCTTGCTTTGAATCTTCCGTGTTTGAGCAGACTGGTTTCTGTCGGGTGCCCCTGACCTGAAGACGTTTTTCTTCTTGCAGACGACGACAGGGCTGGGGCGAGTTGTGACGCTCAACTCTATTTTCCCAAGCCTGTGTCTGGGTGTGTTGAAAAGCCCAAGTCTGTGAATCAAGATGTGCATCAAAATCCTTTTGCACGACCACCTTCTGTGCAGATTCTTTCATCAAATGTTCTTGTGCTCTTTCCACTATCGTTTCTTCTTTGGGGCCGATCACGGATGGTCCCTGGTTTTCTAGGAGTTTCCCACTCACAGGTTCTTTATGTTCTTTTTGCTGCTCAGGAACCCTATTGGGCTTTCGGTCTCGGGTCTTCTCTGCGGTTTCCGTAGGCATGTTCACGGCCACGCTCGTCTCTTTCTTGGCTAACTGGCAATCGTTTTCTGCTGAAGTTAGCTTCGTATTGCATTTGGTGCTTGCTTCAGTTCTCTCACTCTCGTGGTACTGTTGTTTAGTGATGGTTTGAACATGAACGTCATATTGGTTTTTATGACTTCCATGGTGAGGGTCTGTTTCATTTGATTTAGAATCTAGAGGTGGGGAATTGATGGGTTTCGCTTTAAAAGTTGGAGGAACTTGCTTGATTGGGGTCAAGGGCAACTGCTCCAGATACTTCCGGTTTGTACTGCGTTCTTGGGGACGCTGTTGAATTTCACAAGCTGATTTAGGATGGATAATGTCCCTTGACCTCTCTATTGCTTCCTTTGTGAAACTATCTTTGTCTTCTGAAGCTGCTAAGACATGTTGGAGTCTCTGGGCAGCGACTGACACTGCTGATGCTGCGGTGAGGTGGCTGTCGGTGCCAACTCCTGGTAACGGAGCCTGACGCTGAGACGCTGCCTCGGGGTGGCCTGGACTGATGGCAGAACTCTGTCCAGCTGCAGGAAATGCTTCATTTGCTTGTCGGGATAGCATTTCCTTTTCCGACTCCTGTATGTTCTGCGTTTGATGTTCGGTTTTGACTATGTTGTCGGAAGAACGCTCCTGTTTCTGTTTTTCACGCTCTTCTCTTTGCTGCCTATATTTTTCCTCAGCAATCATTAAAGGCGTCTTAAATTTTCTCATATAAGGTTTTGGACTTTGTTGTCCTGAACCCCCTGGGAGTGAATGGGATTTTAGAAGAGGAGCTCCCTGGTTTTCCTTGGGTGGTGACATTTCTGAGAGAGATTTTGGAGATCCACCAGATGACTGTTTCAATATATTCTGTGCTGTCTTCGCGCGCTCGCTGCTGGTCCCCATCATGACTCCTTTCTGATCTTGTGAGGCAGTAATTTTACAGTCTGTATCTGGCAGGATATTAGCTGATTCGGCTTCTGCGAAATGATTCTTTTCGTCTTCCTTTTGCTTCTGCTTGAAAAATGTTGGTTTGGGTAATGTTGGCGGTGGAAAAACCTTGCCAGTTTTTCCTCTCACAGTTTTGGTCTGAGAGTGAGTTTGCTCAGAGCTTGTGGTTTCTTCTTGGAAGCACGGCTGAATGAATGCTCCACTGTAATTGTCTTGAACAGCCGAGGAAAGATATGTTGGTTTTTGAGACACAATTGGAGGAGGGGGGAGAGGCAGAAAGGTTGATAGGCATTCTTTCTCAGATTTCTCATCCATGGGAGGTGGTGGAAGAGGGAGGCTTGGGAAGCTTTCAAACTCAGCTTGTGTCTTCCCTGTAGACAGGGAGGGAGGAAACATACTTTTGTCTGGCCACATCATGAAGGGAGGCGGAGGAGGGAGTGGAAATTCTACTTCAGATGAAGCGTTGGAAGGCAGAGGAGGAGGTGGGGATGGAAGTGGAAGGGGGCTTTCACTTTCTTTTACATTATTCTCAAGGTTAGCGTTGACTGGATTAAAGTTCTTTGCCATTGCCACTTTCAAGTCTGTTGACGTCTGTGTCTTCATGAGCGCGTCCTGGCTTTGCAGATGAACATCAGACTTGTGCTTTCTGTCAGTTGCTTTGAATTTACTGTGGTGTTTTCCAGAGACTTTCACTTGGGTAGCATTTGAGAGGCCCTGATCTACAGGTGAAGGTTGCCATACAGGTTGAAATGTCTTATTTTTCATGATATCCTTATTAGACTCTTGTGTTTCTTTCTTTAACAAACTTTGCTTCTGAAAGTCCTCTGTGACTTGGCAAGTGTCTCTAGCGGGCGTGCTGACTAGCCGCTGGGTAGGACTAGGCTTGGGGCTGGGGGTTTCTGCTGTCATTTTCGTGTTTTGGGTCACTTTAGGCGTCTTCCTGTGGGGCACCTCAGTCATCTGGGTGCCATTCTTCAGCTCACACGTTTGTCTCTGTTGTTTTCCAACTACTTTATCGATAGACTGGGCGGAGTTAAAGACATCATCCTTCTTCTGCTCTCTCAACATTGCCGATTCCTTAGTTTTTAGGTTTTCCTGAATAGAAACAGTTGAAGTCAATTGTTGGCTTATATGTACATCTCTCTGATGCCGATCTGTTGCAGTATCGTTGCAGACACCTATTCTATCCCCCAACGCTAACTCCTCCCCAATGGCCCCGTGACGTGACTGAGACAGCCTCCTCAGGCTTTTCTCCAGCGCGTCATTGTTGTGTTCACGATCTATGACAATCTTCACAGTACCTTTGGGAGCTTTGGGAAGACTCATCTCCGTCTTTCCTTCTATTAAATTATCATAACAAGATCTCTCAGTAGGTTGTTGAACTGTGTCTGTGCCACCTTGATATCTGGCTGTTGACTCCAGTGGTCCTGGTCTTGGCTGAAGGACACTCTTTTTGTCTCTGTAGACATTAACCTGGCGCATCTCTGTGTTCTGCTCTTTGGAGATTCCTAACCCTGCAGCCTGCACATCTTCTTTGAGTACACCTTCTTTTTGTACCTCTTTGAAAGGGCTCTGCGCTTCTTTCAGAGACCTTAATGATGTCTGAAGGCCATCTCGGATTAGCTCCTTTTTCATGATTTCTGCCCGGGTGAAGGCGGCTTTTTCAAGCCTTTCAATAGTCTGCTCAATATCACCAGTGTTGGCATCAGGTTGTCTAGCTTCCGCCCACTGCTGGCTTGATTCTTTAAGTGACTTGAGTGTGGCCAGCATGTCACCTTTCATCATTTCTTCTGTCTTGGCCATTGTTTTCTGCTTTGAGGCCTGACTGAGAGAACCAAGTGTTGACTTCAAATCACCTTTTATAATTTCTTCTTTCGATGTCTGACAAGATGTGCTCTGAGGCTCTGTCATGAACATCTTCACTGTACTCTGCACATCTCCTGGTACAATGTCAGCTTCATTTATAGTGCGTTCAATTTGAGACTGCCTCTTCTTTAGTAAGAGCTTTGTACCCTCAACATCGCCCCCAATTATTTCTTCCTCTTCCTCTTGTTTCCTAGCAGTTAGAGTTTCATCTGACTCTGTCTGGAGTTGTTTGAGATAATCCCAAACTCCACTTTCTATGCATGTTGTGAAAAACTGAACATTTCCTCTTTCAGAAGCGTCAATTTTCGCCCTTTCAGCTATTTTATTCTTTGTGGTAGAAGACAACAGGTTATGAATGGTGCGTTTTACATCACCCCCGATTACTTCTTCACGCTCAATCATGTTATCTTCATTTTCATGAAGAAGACAATAGATTGTCATATTAATATCGCCCCTTTCATCTTCCTGAATTACAATGCCTTTCTTGACAGATCTTTCTTCCGAAAGCAGGTTTTTGATTGCTTGTTTGACATCACCGCTCACTACCTCTTCTTTCTCAGCATGAAATTCTGTTGATCTGTTTAATAGCTGAGTTTGGGTGACGCTTACATTGCCCTTCTCTTCCTCACTAACCCAGATCTCCCTTTTTGTACTATCTCTTTTGGAAAGTAGATTTACCATTATGTTTCTGAGATCACCTTTGACAATTTCTTCTTTCTGTATCGCAGGAGATGCTTGATTCATGAGCTTGTATTTTGCCATTCGGATGTCCCCCACTTCATCAGCTTCAATGATGATTCCAGGAGCCTCAATAACTTTTTGAGAGTAGAGTTTTTCTAAGGTCTCTTTAATGCTCTTGCCGATAACGGCCACCTTTTCCACCTTCTTCTCATTAAATTCATGAAGTGGCGTTGTTTCAAAGAGCCAGGTTGTTGTCTTGACGTCAGAAGGAGGGACTTCTTCTTTGATTATTTTTGTAATGTTCTCCTCTGCCTCCTTAATAGAATCTAAGGTTTGATTTTCAAAAAGCCACACTGCCTGCTTCACATCCCCTTTCTGCACATCTTCCTGGGTGACGGTTTTAATATTTTCATATTCAGATCCTTCTCCTCTGAGTTCCCCTAGAGTGTGGGTTTCAAATAGCCAAGTAGAGGTTTTCACATTCCCCTTTTGTATTTCGTTGACACTTACTGTTCTTATAACAGTATTTTGGTTGACATTTTCTGACTCAAATAACTGTGTACTGGTCTTTACATTGCCACCTTGAATGTAGTCAACAGAGGACACGATATCATGCGATTCTTCAGAAATCTTATCCAGTGGCTGGGTTTCAAACCTGTATCGGACAGAATTGACATCTCCCTTCTGAATGTCTTGTTGGGTGACAGATTTAATAATATACACGGACTCAGATTCATTAATTGAATCTAGCGGTTTTGTTTCAAAAAGCCACCGTGTACCTCGTACATCTCCGTGAATTACTTCTTCCTTCTTAACTGTTGTCACTTCATGGTAACTCCCTTCTCGGTCTTGGATTGCGTAGAGTGGCTGCGTTTCAAAGAGCAGCCTGTAACTTTTCACATCACCCCTCTTTCCTTCTCCAGTCTTTCTTTCCTCTGTGCTCACCTCGTCGGATTCTTCTTTAATCTCATCTAAAGAAAATGTCTCAAAAAGAAAGCACCCCTTTTTTACATCCCCACCTTGGATGTCTGTCACTGTCTTGATGGATCCATCATCTTCTTGCCTTGCTTTGATCCTATCAATTGGCTGGTTTTCAAAAAGCCACCTACAATGTAAAACATTGCCTTTTTGAATATCTTCAGATTTCAGGGTTTTGATCTTTTCCAGAACTTCCTCTGAACTGGAACTTAAGGAATCTAAGGACTGGTTTTCAAATTTGTACCGCATGCCAGAAACATCCCCGGCTTGGATGGTCATTTCCACTGTCCTGAGATCCTTTCCGTCTTCTCCCTGGATGCTGTCCAAATTTTCTGTCTCAAAAAGGAAACACGTTGTGCGGACATCTCCACCCTGGATCTCCTCCTGTTTTACAGTTTGTGGTTTGACTGTTGGTTCAGATTCATCTTTGATGGTATCAAGCGGCTGAGTTTCAAAAAGCCAAGTACAGGTTTTGACATCTCCCTTATGAATTTCTTCACTGTCAGTCACCAATGAAACTTTTTCATAAAGGGATTCAACTGGCTGTGTTTCAAAAAGCCATCTACAGGTTTTGACATCTCCTTTAACAATTTCTTTAACTTGTTCAGTTTCACTGCCTATTTCTTCCACGTTACTGAAATATTTGATTGAATCAAGAGGTTGGGTTTCAAACAACCATTTGGCAGATTTCACATTTCCAGCCTGTATTTCTTGAGCAGATATGCCTCTAATAATCTGAAATTTATGAATGCTTTCATCAAACTGGTCTATGGGTCGTGTTTCAAAAAGCCACCTACAGCTTCTCACATCACCTCTTAGGATTTCTTCTTGCTGAACGGTCTTCACCTGGTGATATTTTCCTAGGTGATCTTGAATGGCATACAGTGGCATTGTCTCAAAGAGAGATTTATTGAACTCTACAGCACCTCTTGTGACTCCTTCCACCTCTGTTTTATGCGATGCATCAAATTTAACCAAGTTGTTTGATTCAAAAATGTGTGTGTAACTCCTCACGTCTCCCCTGTCAACCTCTTCAAGCCTCACAGTCCTCATGTACTCTTTCTTATCTTCTCGGATTTCTTCTAGAGGCTGGGTCTCAAAAAGCCATTTCTGATGCCTAACATCCCCCTTTTCTTCTTTGGAGGCAGTGATTTTTTGAAGTTTTCCTACATCAGGGCTATCTTTTAAAACCTCTATTGGAAGGGTTTCAAATAGATGTTTAGTAGCTTGCACGTCACCACCTATTCTCTCCCCAGGTGGTAGAGCACCTGCATCAGGACCTGCTTTTAGAACATCTAATGGTTGCCTTTCAAACATCCAGCACTTTTGGGAGACATCCGCACCTATTATCATTTCCTTTTCAGCAATTACTTCTTCTGTCTCCTCTTTGATTTTCTCCAAGGGTTGGGTTTCAAATAACCACTTTGCCCTGCTCACTCCACCTTTGAGATTTTCCTCCATGGATATTCCTCGGACAACTTTAATTTCTATGACTTCTTTATTAATCATGTCCAAGGGCTGTGTTTCAAACATCCAACGTGCTGTTCTCACGTTGCCCTTTTCAATATCTTCTCTGTGAACAGTTTTAATTTCTAACATTTGGCCTAAACCATCTCGGATGACATATAAAGGTTGAGTTTCAAAACATTTTATACTTCTCTTCACATTTCCTTTAATTTCTTTGAGCTCAGACCTGAGTTGCAGCAGGTGAGCCTCATCCACTGAATGGAGCTGTCCAAGTTGGTCTAGGTGCTGAGTCTCAAACATGTATCTCACAGTCTTGACATCCCCTCCAGTTATATCCTTGACGATGGTTTCCTCTGAATCTTCAACACTTTGATGTATTTTATTCAGTGCAGCCAATGACTTTGTTTCAAACATCCACCGGGCTGTACGTACATCTCCTCTGGCTAGCTCAGGAATTTTCTCATCATTTTCTTCCACACCAGAAGAACGATCCCCCAGGGTATCTATGGGTTGGGTTTCAAACATCCATGTGGTGTACTTCACATCCCCCCCAGCAATGATTTCTTGATCAGTGATGCTCTTAGGGATGCTACCTTCATCCTGGGAGCCATTGTTGATGGAATCTAATGGCTGATTTTCAAAGATCCATCTGATTGACTGCACCTCCCCCTTCAGAATTTCATCCCATTCCATGCGTTCTTTTTCAGAACTCAGATCTTTCTGAGACCCGTCACTTGTATTTTCAAAAACAGACCGGGCTTGTTGTACATCTGCTAAAACTGAACTCCCCAGGTTCACTTGACTAGAAACAATTTCAGAAACTTCACTGATATAATCTTTTTCTAAGTTTTTTCTTAATTCGGGATGGATGTGTTTATATAAACGGTTTAATTCATACAGATTTCTTTGCTTGAAATATAAGTCCTTGGGGACTAGTGGTCTTCCAGCTGGGCTTGGCAATTCAGGGGACTGGGAAGATACTGTCACATCTATTGGAGTTTGAAGTATATCTGGTGGGGGAGGAGGAAATTCTTCTGCTTCTACTACAGAATTGGCATTAACTTGTTCCAGAGTGGAGGAAGTGACACTGTGGTTATTATATCTTGTTGATAACTTTGCCTTTCTCTGGCTGCTTGAAGCACAAGAAGTGGAAGAGGTATCCACAACTGAAGATGGTTTTAAAGTTTCTTCATATTCATTTTCAATCTTTAGGGAAAAGGAAATCAAATCTTATAAAGATGGGCATATGTGGTAAATGCTTCCTAGTCACTGTTCTCCGTTTGTGCACATACCAAGACCTTGCTTTTACATCTCCATTGGGGATACCAAGTGATACATTTCACTTAAAGACACACTAAGGGGCAATATTCAAGGTTTGTTTTGAACTTTGCTATAATCTATTTGCACTGTAAAATCATATTGTACATTTAACATATCAACTACTTGGTATCTTAACATTTACACACAATCTTGGTTTTTTTCTCTCTCCTTTGGTTAATGTGCTATGCAGAGCATTCTAGAAGAAAACAACAGAAGTCTTAACCTACTTTTGAAGGTTCTTCTGTCTTCTTGGAATTTTAAACATAATAGAATATGCATTTGACATTTAAATTTTACTTTATTAGTTTATTTAATGTGAGTTATTATATTTTAGAGCATATATAATTTTTCTTCATTCATTTTCTCTAGTGTGGAAAAAATTAACTTTCTCTACCTCTTTTCTTGACCACTTTTATTGAGAAGATTAATATTCTCCTTATGGAACAGAGTAAGTATTGGTTGTTTTTTCACTGAAAAACCACCGCAGACAGTCAATAATTTGGAATACCATTCATTCAAGTATAGTTTTGTACGCACTATGATTTTGTATAGAGAAATTACCTTACCATAATATGCTTCGCTGGGGCTGTTGTCTCTTTGTCAGAATAAAGGGCTTTTTCCTGGGCAGACTTTTCAAATTGTTCTTTTAAAAACTTAGTGGAAACCTTCGGAATCTCTTCATCCTCAGGTGTATCAATGACTACAAGCAAAAAAGAACACCAGGAATATTATGCAACTAATAACAAATGATTTTTGAGGAAAAAATTAGGATGTTAAATGCTTCTCAAAATATGTTAAGTGAAAAAAATCTCTATTAAAATGTGTAGATATTTTATTATTCAAATTAGGACTATGAGGAAGATATAGGAAAACTATTGGAAGGAATTTTAGGAAGGAAAATGTAATTGGCAATTTTCTCTAGATGGAAAGTGCTAAGGGATAAAATGGTTCTTTATTTTAATTACATATATTTTCCAAAGTTTTTACAAGCAAACTTTAATGCTCAGCGGGAAAAAATTAAAATTGTAATACAAGAAAAGAAGACCAGAAAAGGGAGTATTTACTTTCTGGAGCAGTAAAACCACAGTTATAGTCAAGTAACATTTGGGTCCTAGTTGGCCTAATTCTTTCCTGTAGCTCTTTCTCAAAACCAAACTCACTGCCCTTAAGCCCACTCCTGCCCATAGCAGCCCTGTGGTACAGAGGAGACATGTCTCAAGAGACTGGGTCTCTGAGACTGTCATTCTTCATGGGAATAGAAAGCCTCATCTTTCTCGTGAGGAGCAGCTAGTGTGTTCAAACTGCTGACCTTGTCGTTGGTGGTCCAATGCATAACCCACTACCCCACTCAGGCTTCTTTTAGCTCTTTACAGGGCAACAAAAGTCCACATTCTCATTCAAAGGGAAGACAAATAATGCCTGTTTTGTGAATATCTGCACAATTTGTCAGTAGTCTCCTCTCACTTCTATAGGTTGAAACACCGAGCTTCATAATGCTTAGATCTCTAATGAAAGCAATTCAATCTAAATGATCAATTCTATTCTCAGGAAATTTGATGAACATCAAATTTTATTCTGAGTCACTCAGGCAATATAATAATAATAATAATA